CTGACCGCAGTTCGAGTCCTGGATCCGATGGCTTAAACTCACACTGGGCGCATGTGCATGCGTGCCCAAGATCCCGAGAAGAGAATGGAGGAGAAGGGATTGTGGTGTGGCCATCTCCCCATCCCCCCCAGCCATCCTCCCCTTTTCTCGCTTTCTGTCTATCTGTCTCTCTTTCTGGTGAGCACATACGCCCTATAGCAAAAAACGTCTTAAAAAAAAAAAAAAATAACATTCTACCTGTACTTTCATTATCACCCTGGATATATTTGTCATTGTTACTATAATATCACCTGATATAGAGTATACATTCAGCTCCCCAGTTGTTCCAAAGATCTCTTTAGAGTCTTTTTTCAAATCCAAGATTTGATTAAAAATCATGCTTAGCCTTTGATGCATCTCTTCGATTTTCTGTAGAATGTTCTTCCCACCTGTTTTCACAAAACGGGAATTACAGTGATAACACCTACTTTATGGAGTGCGTGGGGAGGTTAAATAGAAACAAGGCAGACAAGGTGGCCAGGGCGGTCTTCACCCACCCACCTGACCACGCTCGGTAACTTTCACTCTCTCCCAGCAGCTGACCGGGACGACTGCTCCATTTTTCACAGTAAGGTCTAAAAGTGGTGAGTCCACACCTAGAAACACGTCGGGTCTGCTAGTGGTCCCCACACAGATGCTTCTGGACTGTCAAACTGTGAGCCACACGAGGGCCATCTCCCAGTTCCAAGATGCCACATGTGGCCACTGCCCAGAGCTTACAGGTGTCTGACACGGTCTGGCGACTTCTCACACTCACCTCAACCATCCATCGTCCACCTCAGGGCCCACGGTCTGTAAGGGCCCCTCCGTGCCCACCGTTTCCCTCTGAAACTTGACCTGCTCTCCTCTCTAAGACAGGCCTATTAAGAATCTCTGTCCCAGGGGCCAGCAGGTGGTGTGGTGGTTAAGGGCGCTGGACTCCCACATGGCCAACTGCAGTTCACGTCCTGAACCTGGCAGCTTGCTTTCTCACTTTCCCTCTCTCTTTCTCACTCTGGCCCTCTCTGGTCAAATTCAAATAAATAAAGATACATAGTTCTTTTTTTTTTAATAATTACTCTATTTATTTATTTATAGTATTTTTTTTCACATGAGTTTTGCCAGAGAAAGACAGAGAGAAAGAACGCTACAAAGCAAGCCACTAGATCCAGACTCAAACCGCAGTTGGCCATGTGGGAATTCCAGCGCCTCAACCACCAAGCCATCTGCTGGGCCCCTAGAATAACTCTTAAAAAAAAGAAAAGCATTCTCTGTCTCAGGTCAGCAGGTGGCATAGTAATTAGCAGTGCTGGACATGGCCGACCACAGTTCGAGTCCCAACTTGCGGCTTGTTTTCTTGCTTCCCCTTTCTCTCTTTCTCTGTCTCTGTATGGTCAAATTTTTAAAAATAATAACAACAAATGAAATCGAATAACTCTTTTAAAAAAAGAAGACTCTGTCTCATGGGCCAGCAGGTGGCAAGATGGTTAAGGTGCTGGATCCCACATAGCCAACTCTCCCGTTCAAGTCCTAGACCCAGCGGCTTGAGAAACATGCCAGGTATGTGTGTGTGCCCAAAATCCTGAGTAGAGACCAGAGGAGAAGGAATTACAGGGGGGCCGTTCCCCGGGAAGTGCGTGCTCTCTCCCTCTCTCGCAAGTGTACATGCCTGTACATGCCCTAAAGCAAAAATCTAAAATGAAAAGATTCTCTTTAAAAACTTGCCTAGGAAGAATCTCGGTCTCGCTCTGTCATTTGCTAGGCGAATAACCAGCCAAGAGCACCTATTAACCGTTGCTGATAAGGGCGTCTCGTCGCCAGCCACGGCGTTCTAGCTCGCGTGTGCTGTAGCCAACTGGCCTGGAGCTAGCCCAGCCTTACATGGACAAGCCACTTGGTAACCAGATTCTAGTTCTAATTTGGTTTCATGTTGTAAATTCCCAGGCCGCAAATCCCAAATTGCAGTTTTATCCCCAGCTTGGAAGGGCAGAGGGTGCCCGTCCCCTCCATGGCAAAAGAGAGGCACAGTAGCACGCCTGAACAGGCCCGCACTGGACGGTCGGCTCAGACGGCCACCGACACCCCGGCCTGTCTCGCTGCTCCTCGGCATAGCGGGACCCAGGCGGCCCGCAGGGAGGCCGCAGCCCCACCCCTCCTGTCTCACAGGCAGCTCATCGCAGCTGCGAGTCCACGGCCAAGACGAATGCCCTGGGTAAGATCCAGTCAAGCACTCCCTGGACAGGTGCTGGCCCCGCTTATTCAGCCGAACTCCCTCCTAAGGAAAAGAAGTCTGAACTTATGAGATGCCGTGTGCTGACAGCAAATGCAGTGCAGTGGTTAGAGTGCTTTATAAGCAGGGGGAAAATCATTTCATCCAGCATTTTTCAGTCTTGACACGTTAGATCCACTTGACTCTTGCAGTTCCTAAGGGGTCCGACACTGAATTTGTTTCCTACCTTTGTTAATAACACAAGAAGGATGTTTTATTAGACGCCTGCAGAACACACGAAACCTCTCATCACTGCAAACGCAGCAGAGTACAAAGAGCACATTTTACGGAGGTGTTATGGGCTGAATGTGTCCTCACGCCGCCCAAGTTCAGTGACACAGCACTCGGGTGGGGCCCTGGAGGGGGTGCGGTTGGATGAGGCCTTGAAGGTGGAACCCCGTCACGAGTTCAGGGTCCTTTTAAGAAGAGTAGGGCCCCAGTGCTCCCGCTCTGTCCCCGCCATAAGGACACAGCAGAGAACCGGGCCTGCCAGCGCCTGGTCCCAGACTCCCCGGCTCCAGGACTGGGAAACAGCCCTCTGGGGGTCGGCCGGCCTCCAGTCAAGCTACTGAGACAGAGGGGCAGGCCAGTGTTTAAAAGAGGAGAGAAATGGGCAGGTAGGTAAGGGGAGAAAGTCCAAAGAGTTTTGTTTTAAGAATTATTCGTTTTATTTTATTATCATTGTATTACTATGTTTCACTTGATGAGAGACAGGGAGAGAGATGGCAAACCACCAGGTCCGGGACTCAAACCATGGTATGCCATACGGAAGCTCAGCGCCTTAACCACCATACCACCTGCTGGCCCCCACGTCAGATCTTCACAGAGTCACTGTCACACACACGCACCGAGGAGTCTGATTCTCCAGCACAGTGAGTTGAGTAAAGTCCCTGGGATCTTTGACAACTCCCTGAAGAAGTCTTTAGGAGGGAAATCCTTGTAAGAATAAACAGGAATACAGCTGAGGCCCCGCACAGGGGAGGGGCAGGGAGCAGAGGCCCTTGCTCGTAATCCAGGCCACAGCACACTCAGGCCTGTCACAGTCCAGACTCAGAACACAGGGCTGGGCAAGACTCCCACGGCACTCCCACGCTAAGGGCGGACAGGAAAAACCCAACAAAATACTTCCAGGGAAGGAAGGCTCCACGTGCAGCAGGGGGACCGCAGTCAGTAACGACGTGTCGTGTATTTCAAAATAACTACGAGAGAGGGCCTTAAATGTTCCCACCACAAAGAAATGGTAAATATTTGAGGTGATAGATACATTAATTAGCCTGATTTTATCATTATTCACAAATTTTGATTTGACTGTACATCATAAATATATACAGTTATTTATCAACTAACAACATAAATTAAAAGCAACTAGTCAAGTGCTTGTCTCACAATAGGAGATAGTCAGATATTTTTAAAATGCTGTAAATGAGTAGTGGGGGTGGAGGGGGGCATACCACTAATATTAGCAACCTTTACCATGTCCTCAGTGGTGGTAAACTCCTCAACCATCCAGAAATGGGGATTATGATCCTTCTGTAAATTAGGAGACTGAGGACAGAGAGGCTACGTCACTCACCCAAAGCGACACTGTTAGTAAGTCCCAGAGGTGGACTCTACGCACGATACCCGCGCTATGAGCTGCACAACTCCTGAGTCCAACCCTAACCCCACTTGGCTATACATGGAGGAAGGACTGTGAGGGCAGAAAATCCCCCGAAGGTACGAGGCTGGGGCCCCCCTCCGTTAGGACCAGCGCCCTTTAAAGAAGTGGAAAGACCCCAGAGAGACACTGTCTCTGCCAGGCAAGGACACGGGGAGAAGGCAGCCATCTCCAGGCCAGGACGAGGCCCTGCCCAGACACCAGCCCTGCTGGCAGCCTGCTCTGGGGCTAGCAGACTCCGTAATGCTCTTCCACAAAACCCCTCTGCTGGCTAAGCCACTCGGCCTGTGGCATTTCATCAAGGCAGCCTGAGCGGAACGCTGCATCCCACGGTGCTTCTCAGGGAGGGGACGCACACTTCACGATGCGACATTACTAAAACAGTCTCATCCCTCATCGGCTAGTCCCAATGGTACAAGAAACGTAAGCTCCCTCCGTCCCCTTCAGAAACCAGTCCTGAAGGGGAGCTCGTCACCGCAGCTGATTAGCGGCTGTACCTAGAACACAGTCACCTCTACGTGCTGCTACGCTCAGGGTCTTCCCAGAGAGCACACACAGAGCAGTCGAGAGCGAGGACCGAGAGGCGGTGAGGGTCCACAGCTGCCCTCTCTCCTACGCACCAGCTCGAGTACTGAAGACCGGCCTCTCGAGCAGTGAGAGGACACACCTGGTTTCTGCTGCTGCCACGCATGCACGCCTGCCTGTTCTGGCACCGCCTCGGGCAGTGTGGCTCGCTCCTGACGTCCCATGGGACTAGTAAGCTCCCTTCTCCACGTTACGGCGAACCTTATGCCTTTCTGCTGACTCCAGTCTTAAATAAAGACTTGTTCTTTTAGCCAAAAATACAAAAAAAGAGATCACTTAGCTGAAAAGTCCTTCTGTTACTTTCAGGCGCACGGGTAACTCACTGATACCAAAGCACTCAGGTCGGACTCAGGCAACCTGAGTTAGGGGACAGTGAGCGTGTGACCGGGAGGGGGCAGCAAGCAGCCACAACCGCTGGCTGCCACACGGTGCCCAGCGTGGTATGCTAGCGGGAGCCAGGAGAGAGCTTACCGTCGCTCAGGTCCTGGAGCAGATTCTCCTGGCAGGAGAAATCCAGCTTCGCTTTGACGCTGACAGTGAACGTGGCTACCTGCCCAGGCAGCAGAGGGAACTGCGTCAGGGTCTCCTCCAGCTTCCAGCTCAAGAAGTCACCGTACAATTTTTCTGCAAGAATAGAAGAACGGCAATGAGGAGGATGTAACAGGCAACCTAAGGCTGACCGATTCCCCAAGAAAATTGTGACACATTCTCAAAAGCAAGAAGGAAAAAAAAGCATTTAAAATGGGTAAGTCAAAGTACTACGAGAATTCCATCATCCAGAGGTGCTGAGTGGCATCCCCCTCCACCCTCAGAAATGAGCACGAGAGGAGGGAGAAGCAGCCTCCGTGAGGGGCTTCGGGTCAGGCTGTCTTCACTCCCAGTGGGCTGCCCCTTCTCGCTGACAAAAGTAAAGCTTTGTTTATTCTTGAAAATGAGTCAGAGCACCAGCAGGTGTCATGGAGGTTCAGACACTGGATCGCACGTGACCAGTTGCACAGTTCAAGTCCCAGACCCAGCAACTTGAAAATCATGCTGAGTGCATGTGTGCCCAAAACCCTGAGAGGAGACTGGAGGAAAAGGGCTTGCAGTGTGGCCATCCCCAACGCCAGGGTGTGTGTGGCAGGGGGGAGGGTCCAACTTGGCAGGGGAGGCCGACTCAGTACAAGAGACCTTCAGAGAAGACACAGTCAGAAACGCAGAAGTGCGCGCAGCACCGGGAAGGCCTGGGCAGGACAGGCACGTCCCGAGCTGTTCTGAAAATCTGCTTCTGTCTTTAGAAGGCCCTGAGTGGAGGCGGTGGCCCTAGGCTTGGCGCTTCTTCGACCCCAAGCAGCCTGAGCCCCTGGAGGAAAACCGGTGCTTTGAGCCAGGTTTGGCGGTAAGTGGGACAGAAACTGTGCCCCAGGGTAGCTGTCCAGATTGAGCAGAGTAACCTCTGTAAGCACGAAGCCCACACAGTAGACACTGCAGGCGAGATGCCCCAGGGGGGGACGAGGACCTAGGAAGGATGGAGGGGGGCCACTGCACCTCCGGAGGCAGCTCTGTCACCTCTGCAGCCCCAGCTCCTTCCTCACAATCGGGAGTGCACTGGGAGGGCTAAAATCAAGGCCCAGCACCATGTGCTGCTCGACACCTGGCAGAACCGTGGCCCTCAAACGTCCCTACAAGTCCAGCCCCAAGTGCCCAGGGAAACGCCTGACCACAGAGACCGGACATGGCTCCAGCTTCTCCCTGGGTGGGACGCTCCAGGTTCCTGCCAGCCTGCAGTGACTGAAACAAGCCAGTCACCTCCAGGTCACCAGGGTGCCCCACCCTCCCAATGCCCCAACGTCTGCCCCCACCATCTCTGCTTGCCACTGGCTGGGTGCCTGAATGCAACCACATGTGGCCCTGCATGGCAGGGTCCCCACCTGGGCTGGGAGGACAAGTGACTAGTACACCTGCCGTCTCACCGTCCTGTGTCAGGTGCCATGTGTCTGACCAGTCCAGACCCCAGGGCGAGCGAGAACTGGAGGCCACCAACACGGCCCCGTCACTCACGAGTTCTCACTCTATAAACGCGTGTTAGACGTGTTCAAACTTAATAAATTGCGCTGTCTTAATTTCCTAATTCGGTAAATCGATTCGGAACGGAATGAGATAAGAATGCCAGGCTGCATGAAACCAGGACGGAAATCTACCTGTGCCCTGTTTGCGGGGGTCAGCTCCCAGGGCCCTCGGAGTTCAGGAAGTGTGTGGCAGCTTCATTAAACAGCGAGGAGCACCAGCCAACCTTCCCGTGAAGTACCAACACCAGCGAGACACCGAGGGCCGGCCGAACCCGCCCCCACCCGGCAAAGATCCTGCAGGCCACCTCTGGAACACGGGCACCCAGAGCTGGCCATATCTGGGGTCCTTTCCTGCGACTGCTCCCAGGGTCCTGGGGTGGGCAGGAGATAGGCGAGGACTCTTGGCACGGGTCCAGCTGTCATGGCACATGCACCAAAGAGCCTCAGGGAGCCCACTCGGGCCTCCCCGCTGCTCCCCGCTGCTCCCCGCTGCCCCTGGACCTCCCAGCTCCCCAGCACACGAGCTGCTCCCTCTGCGGAGGCTCTGGCCCCTTTCTCACACAGGGAAGTCCTGCCCCCTTCGCAGGCCGACCTGAGAGGCTCCTGTTGCATGGGGCCTCTCCCATCCCAGTGACTCCACGAGCTCCAACACACACACCGTCTAAGCTGTGCACTCCACCGGACAGCCGACCATGGAAGACTTCACCTGGACTCCTGCCACCTGGGGAGGCAGTTTCCCAGCTGCAAGATAAAGGGCCCGGGTCCACGTCCTGGCTCTGGCTGGGTCTCAGGTCAGTCACAGGAGTCCGGTGACTTCCATGTGCCTCGGTTTACTCATCTCCACGACAGTTCTCTCATGCGGAACCAGTGACCCTGTCAAACAAGCACTTAGCGCAGAGCCAGGCTCTCCTCCCACCCCCTGAGCCCCAAGCTCCGTTTCCAAACCGGGTAACCCTCGTACCCCTTCGCCAGATCATGGGGACGGAATATTCTGACAGAGAATCTGACCCTGTGCTTGGCATTCAGTGTCGGCTCCCATCCACCTCTCTCCCCGCTCAACGCTGACCTGGCACTCGGCAGGCACTCTGCGGTGTGCCGGCCCGGCGGACGGAGGTATGCCGAGCATCCTTTAGATTTGTAAGTGGGACAGATGGAGCCAAGTTATGTGGGAGAAGAATACCAGACTGGATGCACGATGTCATTGCAAGCACATAAAAACCTTCAGAGGGGGTTGGCAGGTGGCGTGGTAGCTGGGGTACTGCACTCCCACATGGCTGGCCATGGTTTGAATCCTGGACCTGGTAGTTTGTTTTCTTACTTTCCCTCTCTTTTGCTCTCTCTCTAGTCAAATTTTAAAATAATAATAATAAATAAAATTAAATAATTCTTTTAAAATATATGTTGGGGGGAGGAGCGGGCGGGGGACAGCAGTTGGACCAAAATAAATAAATAAATAAAATAAAATAAAATAAAATAAAATAAATGTTCACATAGAAAATGGAAGAAGACATGCTGAGACGCCAACAGTGGCTGTCTCTGAGGCTCCGGATCGCGGTAACTGCACATTGTTTATACTATGTGAATTTTCTACAGTGGGATCTATTAGAATCTCACAGACAGACCCGCCACATACGGACACGCGCCCATGACCACGCTAAGCTCTCACTCTAGTCTAATGGAGAATCGTTCATCCCCACTCACGGAGGACCAAGGCAGGGAAACGTGGCCTGCGCCCACATTCACAGCAACCGAGCGCCGTGACCCAGCCGGGAGTGGGGAGGAGGGGGCCTGCGCCTGTGCGGAGTCTTGTATGGTGTGCCAGGCAGCGTGTGGACGAAGGCGAGGGCGGGAACCGACGGCACGTGTGTCACTGTCTGAGCCTGCAGGGCAAGCTCGGCTGAAGCAGCAGGAGGACTGTGGCAGCTGCACAACCTCGCACGCACCAGAGGCCCAGCCGAGCAGACCAGGGAGAGGCCAGTCCAGAGGGGCAGGCAAGCTCTGCACACACACGCGCACACACACACACAAACACACACGTCTACACTCGCTCGGCAGGGCAGGACAGGGCAGGGCACTCGGGAAGGAAAGGGCTGGCCCTAGGGAACACCGGGTGGAGCTGCAATGACCACCTGTAAAAGCCGTGTGCTGACTTGACGGCAGGGCTGCACGGTTCCAACCAGTGAAGCAACTGAGGGTCGGAGAGTGTAAGCAACCTACCCAAAGCTGGACCGCCGGAAAGTGAGAGAGCCAAGAGTCACAGCCAGGCGGGCAAAGACCTCGCCCTTCCCATTGCTCCAGCACCTCTCACCCCTCATCTGAAGCCACTGACCAGCCAGCACAAGGAGTGGGGAGGGTGTGCCGGGAAGCCTTGGCAAGGTGACGGGGGGTAGCTCCCTGAAGGAGATCCTAGGAAATACGACGTGGTCGTTGACACCAGGAGCGGACAGTCAGGCCTGGCTCTGAACGCTGACACTGCCACGCACAAGTTCTGTGAACACACGCGGTTCCGAGGTGCCCATCTACAGACAGAGGCATGTTGGAGGTGTTGTGAGGGCCGAGTGAGAGGATGTGGTCTCAGCCCAGCCCGTGGCCCCGGCACCTGCTCGGACCGTGCCCGTGAAAGCCACGGGAGCTCTGCAGGCTGCGACAGACTTGCTCTTCGCGTTCACTGTGAAGCCACTCAGTAGCCCATGGCAGGCACAGCGTGGGCTCTGGAAACAGAGAGATCGAGAAGATGCCACCCTGACCCTTGAGGGGGCCAGGCCTGGCAGCAACGGGGCTGTCTATGACTGTAGGAGATGCTGGTGTAGGGGCATAAAAGTCCCCCAAAGCTTAGACCAGATGAGACAGAAGGTCCCTCTCGATTTGAAGATCGTAAAGCTGTATGCCATTACACACAGAACAGATGCAGTCGTAGCCTGCTGACTAGCTGATACCCCAAATGAGGGTGGGATACAACTGGACGGACCTGCGGGGCCTGGCTCTGTCTGTCCAGCCTGCAAGGAAGCACAGCTGGGGAGAAACTGTCGCTGCGGCACTCCTCTGTCTGTTGAAATACTTTTCATTTCCTAAGTGTTTCCACCGAGAGATGAACTTGGCTAAAATGAGCTCTGCGACCTCCTCCGGGCTCCCCGAGGCCATGGCTGCGGACACCTCCGGACAGAGGCCAGGAGACAGCGTCCGTGATGACGGGCCAAGTCAGAGCGTCACCATCCCCTAGGGTTTCTCCCAGGCTGTGGGGGCACCTGCCAAACACGCCCAAAGGCGGCGAAGTGGAGGCCAATGATCGTCGCTGCCAGGTTCCGGCCCTTGAGAGGAGGCCACCGACGGCCCCCACGTCGGGCATACTTGCACGGAGCAGGGACCACGCTGAGATCTGGACTCAGAGCGTGCCACTGAGCCCACGTGGCTACTGCCCGCACAGGCCCTGCCCTTGTGCCCGTTTCAGGTCGGCTTCGAGGCCACCCAGAGGCAGGCCTGGCTCTGCGGACAATCTACTCCTTAGTGAGTCCCCAGCTGGGCCTGGAACAAACCTGTGACAGAGTGTGTGCTTCTATTTTAAGAAGTACATTTTTT